AATTCTTCCTCCATCTCATCACATCTCACTACCTTACTTCCAATTCTAACAGAATCACTACATTAATCAATTGGGTACTTTTAAATGCTTTTATAGGGTCTAACCCAATGGACATGATTATCCCTGATACATTGAGTAGTGACCACCAACCCCAGGCATAACCTTATCTCTTTAAGTGTGCATCTCTAACAGTTGTAAGAGTAGTGTAAGATCATCCACAATATTGCTCATCAAGTAGTTTTAAATGTAAACATGGTCAGAAAAAGGAAGTAACAAAATTTAGGTGCAACTTCCACTGTCCAAACTGAAGATGTCTCCTATAAAACTCAAGTCTGGTTGTGACCAGAGTCATAGTGGACTCATCAATTCAACTACTACAAGAGAACATATACATGTCTAGCCATAATAAGAAGTTAAGGAATCACCTCCCTCACGATACACAAAGATCAAATCAATCCACTAATAATCCAAACATCAACCAAAATCAATCAAACTGATTAATCCATAATAAAACTAACACAGTATGTCACACATAATCTTAAATCACAAACACAATAACACTGATATCCTATGGTTTCCTCCCTCAAAGCACTTGGTTTAACGTTGTCTGCCCAACGAATCCCAAGCTTATACATATTTCACTTGCTCACCACTTTTTTCCTTAATTTTTTCTAATCCTCCTTAAAGTTCTCCCTAGTTCTAATTCGTACGGTTCAAGGTCTCTAACTCGTGAACTACACATTTAAATCTAAGGACTTAACTAATATGATAGATATCCAATACTTCAAACACTCAAAAATATTTTTAGTATTTTAAATTTTTTAATATATAATTGAACTCGCAATAAATAAAAACACTATATAATAACACTATAATTTCCAAATCTAAGTCTTCCAGGTTCAACAAAAATTCTCCTTAATTTCTTATCGTTGTCTCCCTGGTAACGGCATAAAAAACTTAAACCAATTCACAATTACACAGTTATTTAATTTCTTGGCAATAAACTTGACCCAATTTCTTTTGGCGGCTAGTGTGCAAAATGGATATGTTACAGAATTTATAATTGATTTTTATTTTATACACTAGGGGTTCTACACAATTATATGTATCATTTCAAGTAATATAGGATTTTCTTTTAAGACCCAAAGAAACGATCCCATAGAGTAGCGAGGTAAGAAATCCCCTAGGCTAATTCTAGTTTGCTATTATGAGTTCTTAGTTTAGAATATCGATTAAGGGTATTTTTCTAATAACCACTAATAAAGACAAACCTAAATCTAAGGATAAGCCTAACAAGAAAAATTAGTTTGGTGAACTTTGAGATGTAACAACTACTTTTCACGTGTTAAATTAAATAATGTGTAGGAATGAGATACTTAGATTTTAATTAAGTTAGTGAAATTCGAAGTAAAGTTAATCCTTACCCTCGGTTAAGTGTTATAAAGATCATTAGTTAACTTAAAGTCAATTCCTTAACATCCTGACTATCCCATCAAAATTGTCCAGTCTCTCATCACTAGAATCCCATAGCCTATGCCACTATATTGGCCTGATCCCAGTGTTAAAGGATGAAACTAAAGTCAAATTGGTAGGAATCTAGTATGTCATCATAAAAACAACCAATTTACACAGATTAACGAATACTTCCCTAAAATTGCAATGAATCTCTGAACTACCTTCTCACCCATCAATTCAATTTGGTGTCACTTAGTTGAAAATTACACCGCCCTCATGGATCCTAATGCAATTACAACAATTTTAACATTACAACAGGCTTAAAATGCAATGTAAATGAAGTGCAAATGAAATACCATCACATTAATGAAATAAGAGTATTTCTAAGCGATTCTAAATTCCTAAAAATTCATCCAAATCATTGCAAGAAAAGTAAAATTAATATAATGGCATGAGCAGTAAAAGAATTGATAAAATTATGAAATAATTTATGTGCTAACAAGAAACATTTGTCTGTCTATCATCTTCGGAGTGTATAGGTATGCTTAGTATTCAATTAGTTTTACACAACTAATTGTCACTCAGAAGCTCCTAATAGAAATAGATCAAGAATTATATTTCCTTAAATGTTGCATTGCCACTTAAACTACATCATCATAGCCAACTGGACAATGAGAGTGCACTAAAGTTGTGATATCACTGCTTCTTTGAGTCTTTGTTTCACTTGAAATAGATCTTAACTTAACTTATTGCTAGTATATTATATCAATGAACCAAATGAGATATTACCCATCTTATGGAAATAAAAATTATTCTATCTTAAAATAAATTTTCCTACTCATGCCACTACTTCATATCAATAGAAAATAGTAAAGAAAACTACTCACAAAGCATGAATAAAGCACAACAGAAAAATTCATTAAATCAATACAAATTCACTATAAAGTGTTAACCAAAATTATAAAATAATGAAGAATACAAGACTTAGTTTTTTCCCTCTGAAAGAAAGATGAAAATCCCTTCAAAAAATTCTTCTATCGATCCATGCAATGATGATATACTTACTTACAAAAATCTCTAAAAATTGCTTACCAATCTCTCTAGAAAATATAGAAATATACATCTTCTACTCCTATCTACTACCTTTGGACGTTCTTGAAGTCTCCAAGACTTTTCAAATGCCAAAAAGTTTCTTCCCAAATACTAAAAGGTGCCTTATAAACTCCTTGGGGCATCTAGAACCGTGAACAACCGTTTATGGCACCAGAATTGGGCTAAATTGGCGCCTAAGCGCCACCTTCCTGACAACACCTTTTTTTCACTCTATTTTGCCTCGTTTCAGCACTAATTCACTCCAAGTGTTATACCTACAAGGTAAACATGAAAATAACCTCTTTTAAAAGTGCAATTTCATTCAAAAATCAGTGATAAATATAAAAAAATTAAGCATAGAAAGATATATCAAAAAACGTCAGATCAGAATTTTCTTCTTTTCACGATTTGACTGTAAATTACACCATTTTTCTCCATTTTCTCCTAAACTCCATTTCTTACACATGTAACCAAAAACACACAAAATATCTTTCATTAAAGTGCAATATCAATAAAAATAAACATAAAATATATATAAAAAGTAGCTAATTTTTTGGCGTGTCATCGTTCCCTTCAAGTAGCAGGAAAATAGAAGAAGTAATCAGTATACCACAAAGATACCAGCACAAATCTCGAAGGGATCGGACGACCAAAACGAGAGGCACACAAACAAAGTTCAATATAGTAGAGGAGAGAACTTAGCAATAAACATTTGATTGACTCTATATCTCAGTAATCCAACTAGTGGGCCGATAATAGAATCTTTTGACCGAGCAGAATCTGTCAGCTGATGTGGCTACCAATCAAGACATTGCCAAAGAAGGTCTTGCATGTCCTGGTCAAGCGACCAAATTTCAAAGAAGATGCGATCAGCTAACGCAATCAGCTAACACACTGAGGATGACCGCTATAACCGGCTAACCTCAAGGCCATTGGTGATCAATCATGCATTATCTTTTATTTTTTTTACTATGTAATTTGAATTCATTAATTCAGACAGTTGTGGAAACTGTTCTATCCTTATGGGTACTTGTATTCTTGGACCCCTATAAATAGGAGATCATGACATCAATAAAGAGATCTTCAAAATTCACTATGGAGATTTTGGCATTCAAAAATTCTTTTGCACAGCTCTCTCTCTTTTTCTCCATCATCTCTCTCCTCTCAACTCCAACTGTTGGGACGAGTTTCACAAGAAGACAATTTGGGATTCAAAGATAATTATACATATACTTTTTTAGTTTTTTTAAATTTTTTATTATTTTTTTAATTAATAAGAGAAATACTATAAATTTGTTAATTTTATGTTCAACTTTTTTTCGTTTTAAATTTTTTTATAATAATATTAATACTATAAATTTCTTATTTAAAGTTGTACTTTTTATTTTTTATTTATATTGAGTTATAATAATAGTATTACTATAGACTTATTATTTTTAAATTTAATTTTCATTTTCGATTTTTTATTGATAATAGAAATGCTATAAATTTATAATTTTTAAATTTTTACTTTTTCAGTTTATTTCACCGAAGATGAGAATTTTTGTTTTCATTTATGAATCGACTTTCCAAAAATCCATTTTTATTTTTTTATCAGGAAAAATCGAGTTTTGCACAATGGATTATCTATTTATAATTTTTTTTCTTAGATTCTGTTTTAAAAAAACAATTTTTAATTACGTCGACCATAAAAATTACGCAATTGGACATCAAGGTTGATTGCATCGATGTAGACTGTGCCAAGCTGGGTGCTGTCAGCCCGAAGTCCCCCTACATGCTTGTCTTTGCTGGCCTCTCTTGATTCGTAAGCAGGTTATCTCGTTTTATAAAACTTTGAACCGTTGCATTAATCGCTATTTCATAATGTTTTGCTTGCATGATCTGTTTTGTTTTTAACTCACTTTTGACACCGATGAAGTATTTTGTTTTAAATGTTGGATGTTTTGATGCTGTTGAGTTAAAATGATAGGTTTCTTTTCATTTTATTCATTTATTTTAAAACAAGTAATAAATCTAATTAATCATTCTACTATATTGCATGTATAAAACACAATATTAAATGTATGTTTGGTCGTTCAATACATATATAAATAATAGCACCTAGTTCTTGGTGTGAAATGTGTCTGTGCGGTAGATATGTAAATTTTAGTATCTAAAATTAAATAAATGAAAATTTATGCAGTCTTTCCAAATGTTGCAGGGGTCCTACGGCCATCCATCCCTTTCACTTAAGCCTCACACTTCCGTAAAGACTTTTATTGCTCCAAAGAAGAGAGAGGTGATGGAAACAGGACAGACAGCCATTGTTTGACTTGAGTTTTGCCACTCACATGCACCTACGCTCTCTCTCTCTCTCTCTCTCTCTCTCTCAGGTTCCTACCTCTAAAGTCTTTTCCCTGTCAATAAATTATATTTATGCTGTGTTTCGTTCTACTTGGAAGCGTCATATCATCTTCTCTTCTTCCCTTCTTCTTTTCTTTGTTTTTGAATTTTAAGTAGAAGGGAAAAGGATGGGCAGGGCTCCTTGCTGTGATAAGGCCAAAGTGAAGAAAGGTCCTTGGTCTGCGGAAGAGGATTCAAAACTCAAGGAGTTCATTGAGAAGAATGGCACTGGGGGCAATTGGATTGCTCTTCCTCATAAAGCTGGTAGTCTCTTCTCTTCTACCTTGCCCTCCTTCTCTCTCTCTTTCTCTCTCTCTCTCAATAACTTGTGGACATTAATAGGGTTAAGAAGATGTGGAAAGAGCTGCAGGCTTAGATGGCTAAACTATCTTAGGCCTAACATCAAGCATGGGGAGTTCTCTGAAGCTGAAGATAATACTATTTGCACTCTATTTGCTAGCATTGGGAGCAGGTGAGCTCCTACTTTTAGGAAAAATAGAAAGACAATTGTAAGCAATGTTCTGCTAGAAATGCAAAACATTTCCTCTTTAAGATGAAATGCCAAGTCTCAAATTTTATGCCTTTCTCTCTGAAAAACAAGAAAAAATTGTATGGATAGTTATTTTTTCAGGAGAAAAAATTTTCCTTACATAACAAAAGATGGATTTATTTCGACCTAAATTTAGCTAAGGATCAACTTGCCAGCGTAGGTTCTACTCAATTCTCCGTCACTTTCCATAATTGTGGTTCCTTTTTGCTCATCTCTTCAAGGAAATTTTCCGTTTTCATTTCGAATAATAAAAAATTTGAACAACTTTCAGGTGGTCTATCATAGCTTCTCAGTTGCCAGGGAGAACAGACAATGATATCAAGAACTACTGGAACACAAAACTCAAGAAAAAACTCCTTGGCATCTCTTCTTCCCAAAAGAGAAGTTCTCTTCATCAGCAACAGCGCAGCCAGCAGCTTTTCTTCTCATCACCATCACCATGTTTAACTTCCAATCCCTACATAAATAATAGTGTTACTCCTACTCTCTTTCAAAAGGACTCCTTTGGTTGCTTCAATCATCAAGCCAATTTGGCTCCAATTTCATCCAAAGTCTTCAGTGCTCCTTCCAGTTCATCTTCATCTTCTTCCTCTTTCTTCCAAAATACGAGCTTTAATAATTTGATGCTTTATGGCAACACAAGTTTTCAGGAATTCGATGGAATACCGAATTCTACTCCCTTAGAGGAGTACTCAGTCTATGGATTTGAAGACATTAAGAAGATGCTTACGAATAGCAACAATGAGTTTTACTTTGAGGACTAAACAGTTGGAGGATGCAAAGCCCAATGGAGAAGTATGGATGCTTTTTGAATTGTAATGTAAAGGGTGATTGGGATTGGGAAGGAAGATATTATTTGGTGAGCATAATTTTTAACTTTTAATATGATTGTTATGTATTTTTGTTTTGTATTATTTTGTATTGCTATTTGTACAATAACAATACAGACTAATACAGAATAAAAAGAATATTAATATAACATATAAAAATTATCAGTTTTGTTCGCCTAATATTTTTTCTTTTAAGTTGTTAAAAATTTGAATTATAATCACTTTTTATTTAAAAATATGACTTGATTATAGTTATGTTCATTTAATTAATTCTAATTAGTTATATTTTCCTTAAGAAAAATATGATTAAAAGCAACATCTCAGTCAATATTTTCTTACCTTTTCTAGCTTTTTTTATGCGAATTGTAACAGTTGTTTACTTCATCATGTTAATTATATTATTTTCTAAACTATGATTAAAATTATTTAGTATTAATAATAATCACAGTCTATAGAATGTTATGGTTAAATTTTGTAAAATATGACTAACAAAGTAGCTTTAGATCAAATATAACAAAAAATTAATACTAAAGATCTTATTTCAAATGAAATATGTTTATATTTCAATTTTTGTTAATGTGACATTTTCTCTTGGATTCCACTCCCAATATATCTAAGGAATTCTCACCTTTTGTAGTATGGTTTGATGCTCAGTGTGTTGATATTTATATTTTGAGTTTTGATTTTTGGATTGTAACCTCTGTCTCTATTCTCCAAACCAAGCACTTTTTTCTGGTCGTATAAAACCTCTTTTTTTTTTGGTGTATCCGTAACAAGTACCATCTTCAGCATTCAAGAAAAAACAATGGCCTTGTCTCTCCTTGGAAGAAGCAAACACTTCTCATGACGCAAAGAAAATCATAGAAAATCAAATTAATAAGTACAAATCCATGTAAATTTAATTTCTTTCATATTTTTTTAAGCAGTACTGACTTGCTCAAAATTAAAAACACATTAATTAAATTATGATTTATGAAAAGAAGTGGAGCAGAAGAAAAGAGTTGCATATCAGTTCTATTGTCCACATGCATATATGTTTTGAAGTTAGAAAGATGTAGAAGTTTGTAACTGAGATTAGATTCTTAGTGGTTGCTAATATTTTAGTAAAACAAGGTGGGATGTCAGTTTCTGCATCTTGAAAA